GGACAAATTCAGTTTGCTGGCTGTTGTTGCAAATAATGTTTTATTGGAACACAGTCTTGTTCATCATTTACATATTGTCTACAGCTGCTTTCTGTTACTACAGTAGCAGAGTTAAATACTTGTGGTAGTGATCATACGGTCTGTAAGGCCTAAAGTATTTACTACGTGGCCCTTTATACAGTGTATGTCTACAGAATTCTAAAAATACTTGTTTTCTTTCTCTATCATGTTATGTATCAGTCTAGTTCAACTGCAGTTGGCATTCAGACATTTTTCTGTCCCTCCTTCATTTTTACTAACAATCTTCCCCAGTTTTCTTTCTTCTACCCTGCTTGCGGAGTCCCACCTCTTAGTCAATGGAGTCCATCAATGAAGTCATAGTGTGTGTGTGTGTGTGTGTGTGTGTGTGTGTGTGTGTGTGTGTGGGGGGGAGGTTCTTCAGAGCCCTCAAACTGAAACATCTACAAGTCAGACCTTTCTTTTGCCAATATGAATCTCTTCTTAAAGCTTAATTATACCACATTATGATCCTAAAGAGTCTTTGTTGCTTTCCTTAGTCTCATCAAAGATGCTTTCCTAGGAAAGACTTGGAGTCATGGAATCAGAATTAGAGCTAAACTATACAAACACACATGTGTATGTGTGTGGATTGTATATACTGCCAGGTTCCTTGCAGGAAAACAGAAACCAGAGAGCACTCCATATGCTTTTTTGAAAAGAGGAGTTAATAGGAGGAATTGGTCAAATAGGTGATGGCAAAACTGAGAAACTAATAGGGGACAGTGAGACAATCCGGAGATTAGCAGCAACAGGAAGCTGCTACTACCCCTATGCTGGAGGGAGAGAGGGAGAAGGCAATGTTGCTGAAGGTCAAGGGCTGATGCTACACAGCCGAAAGTGGATACATGGGGAAGATGTAGCTGTTGCCAGAGAAACTGCTAAGGCAGAGAGAGAGGGAGAAAAGTACCCTTGTTTCCTTCTTTGCTGAACCTTCCCACTGGCCAAACCTAGCAGGGAGTGGTTGAGAACTTCAACTTTCAGGATTAGCCCCTTTGAGATGAGAACAGAACAGCGCAAGGGTGAATGAGGGCAATCAGAGGAAAAGGATCAAGCACCAGTGTATTATTTAATCAATAAATGTTAAATTCCCATTTTTCCCAGTTTTCAGTTCCATTGGCCATTTAGGTTCTTTATCTTACCACTAAGAGATGTAAAGAAAAGTACTTTCAATGGTATGCTCCAGGACCTTGAATCAGGTAAAACAAACAAACAAACAAAAAAACCAACTTTCTGAGAATGTAAAGGGCCATCCTGCTCTGAATTTCTTGAAACTGTCTCTGTTTGAAGATAATCAACTTGGTCAAGTTAAATAATTGGTCACTTTCTCAGCTGCTGTATTTACATTAATACTTTCTCAGTATCTCTCTCTTTTGCTTTGTCTTCCAAAGATCTTTATTTATGACTCATCCCTAAATCTTGCAAAAGAGAGACATTTTCTCATTTATTCCATTTCCCCTAATTCAATTGCTATCCTCACACCTACGTATTCAAAATACTCTGTTTTATGGTGATACTGATTACACTCCCTTTGTGTTCTGAACACATTACAAAAGTCGATATTTTGGGCCAGTTTAGGCCTACTGGCTACCAATTTGTATATAATCAATCCCTGCTTTTTGCAAATCAGGCATTCCTAATTGAAAGACTTTTAAAATCCTAATTAAGAGTTAAAACTATTTGTTTTTAAAATTTTTGCCTTAAAACTCAAGTTTTACAAAGATATTATGTGCTATTAAAAAATTAGCACAATATAAACAAAAATATATTGCTATACACTGAGCATAATCAATAATCCTAATCTAGCTCTCATAGATGGAGTATTGGAAGCGTGATTGGGAATGTTAATTTTGTGATTGGAAAAAATCGAAAATACTTTTCTGAAAGAAAATGTAAGTAACGACAGAAGATTTAACCAAATTAAATCTTTTAAAACGTTAGTACCTCTGATAAAGTAGAGGGGAAGGGGATCTCTACTGGCAGCTAAGTTGTAAGGGGGGAACCAGGAATTTAGATGGAAACAACAACTTGCAAAATGCGCTGGAAAATCAGATAAACTGTATCAAACGAATCATGATTACAGACTAACTATATTGATCTCCTAAAGTCAAACTCTTCTAACACCAATTCCTGCAGACCCATACATTCTAATATAATACCATAGACCAATTCATCCAACAGTAACTCTACCCATTCTTACGTGTTCTGAAAATCCAATCACTGATTGTGACAGAAATCCAATCATCGACTGTGACAGAAATTAGTTCACAAATTCTAACCAATCCCTGCCAAAACCACTCTGTGACTAACTCTAGCACCCAAAACCCTTTAAGCACCCTTCCCTAACTCCCTCTTTGGTGTCCATGCTGCTATAGAGGTGTTCCCAGTGGTACTGGCTGATGGTTTTTATTGAATACATTTATTTATTGGCTGATAAGTTTTATGTTACACATCAATGAGACATGCTATTTTCAAAACTTACTAAGGACTTATCTTCAAAATTGCCTATATATTGAAATAGATTTATTTCAGGTGATATGAGCCAGATGTTATCAATAGTGCAAAAGGCAAACCATTAAATATGCATACTGACAAAGACTCTTTCCTTGACCAAATTTTAGGCAGGCTCTACTGAGCCTTCTTTTTAACTAGGTCTCATTCTTGGGTTCTGTCCTCAGCCTGCCTAAGCCACTCTCACCGAAGAATCTTGCTAAGTCATCAGACCCTTGGTGTCTGACCAAGTTCCTCACCCACCCCACCCCCCACCCTATTGATGAATAAGTCCTTGGCCTGCCTTTAGCAAGAATCCTGTTAGGTCACTTTAGCAAGAATCCCTACCCTTGATGTCTCCCTTTAGTAATTTTCCATTGGCTGACATCCTCAATTTGCTCTTTAGCTATAAATTCCCACTGAAGTTGAACACACTTTCTCTCCCCTATGGTAACAGCCTTGAATAAAATCTTCCTTACTGTTTTTTTTTTTTTTTCCGGGTCCGGCAACGGATCCCAACCCTCAGTGTCCCCCCCCCCCCCCCGGGGGGGGGGCGCCGCCGTGCTTCCCAAGCGGCGCACTAGCGCAGTGTGCCACCAGGCCAGCCCCTTCCTTACTGTTTTTTTTTTTTTTTCCGGGTCCGGCAACGGATCCCAACCCTCAGTGTCCCCCCCCCCCCCCCGGGGGGGGGGCGCCGCCGTGCTTCCCAAGCGGCGCACTAGCGCAGTGTGCCACCAGGCCAGCCCCTTCCTTACTGTTTTTTTTTTTTTTTCCGGGTCCGGCAACGGATCCCAACCCTCAGTGTCCCCCCCCCCCCCCCGGGGGGGGGGCGCCGCCGTGCTTCCCAAGCGGCGCACTAGCGCAGTGTGCCACCAGGCCAGCCCCTTCCTTACTGTTTTAACAAGTGCTAGAATAATTTCTTTTTAGCAGTACATGTTTAGTTTTTAACATTTTACTTATTTTTCAAAATCTCAGCATGTAGTCTAGCAATCATTCAGTCAGGCTTTAAACCAAAAGTTATTTTTCTTTCTAAGTGATTTAAATATTATCTCTAATGTATCTCATAACAAACATTGATTTAGGCTGTTATGCTTCCTACAAACTTTATTACTTATTCAAATTTTACCAGTTTAATAAGGCTAATCTTAACCGGTGCTCTTTTACTATAATCTTTTGTGAGAACATCTGCTGATAAAATTTCCCCCTCAATTGAGTAAACTTCAATCTACTGATTTAGGATATAACTCGTAGAGAGCTACGCATAGTAGTTGTTTTTTAATGTGGAGGTTCATAACTCTAATAATTTGGAAAATAACTGTCTTTGTTTGAGTATCTACTATATGCCAGTAATGGGGCTACACACTTTTAATATATTGCTTCTAATCCTCATAATAATCTTTCAAATGGGTTAATTATAATCCTAATTTTACAGATTAATAACTAAGGGAAGAATGTTTAAAACACATGTAAGTAACTAAGCAGATGAGCTGGATCTAAAGCCTGTGCTTTATTCAGTATATATGATGCCTCCTTCATGCCCGCCCCCCACCTTTGTTTTCCTCTGGGTTTTAAAAATTATGTAGCATTTCATTTATCTAGAAGTTAGATTTCTAATCTCAATAAACTGAAGAGATTTATAGAAAGCCAAAAAATAAAGTAAAATAAAAAGCCAGAAGTGATTGAGAAAAATAGTACTTATAGCACCCACATATTTAATATCACTTTCAGCTTACAACTTACAGGCTTTATATTTTGTGCAGAATATGTAATAAATTCTACTATGTAATTATAGGAGGCATTGCTATGGATTAAATGTATCCCCTAAAAGTTGGTGTATTGGAAACTTGAGCCCATTGTAACAGTGTTAAGAGGATGGGAAATCCTATTGTGGTATTTGAAACGTGGGGCCATTAATAGGTGATAAGATTATGAGAACTGTGCCCTGGTGATAGACTGATCCATTCATGGAGTAATGGGCTTGGTTCTGATGGCTTTAAAAGGAGAGCAAGTGAGGAGGTTAGCTCTCTTTTGCTTAGCTTGTTCTTGCTATGTGACACCCTGGCCACCACAGGACCTTGGAGAGAGTCCCACTAAGAAGAAGTTCCTCACCAGATGTGCCCCCTGGATTAGGGTATTGTTCTGTATGCTTGCACCACAGATAGAGTCTCTTTCTGCTTTTTTGACACGACTTATGTTGGTGGAGTACTACTGTTTTTACTCATGCAAAGCTCATAATGGAGGTGGGGCTGTGTTTCCCCTGGTCTAGCTTCAATTTTAGACAGGACCTGAGCTTCAAGAGTTGGACTTTGCCTTGTTTTGGTGGGGTTCTTGGGAAGGAATGAAGTTCCTGCCCTTCTCCTTTCCGCATATTGTTTTTATTTCTATCCCTCCCTCTAGAGGCAGCCAACCTTTGGATGCAACATAGGACAGAATGGTTTCCTACTCCTTCTGCGATGGCAAATGGCTCTCGCTCTGTTCCTTCTCCTGTAACAGCTAACTTTTGCCAGGGACTAGAGGGCATGAGAATTTCCTGTGTCCGTCCCAGAGACAAAATTGCTTTTGCTTTGTATGCCGAAAGGGTCAGGGACACAGCCCTGGGGGGAGGGGGGGAGGGTGGGTAAACCACCAAATGTTTTCTTCACTGAAGCAAAGACATGGCAAGTGGATGTGGATTCCCCTTGTTTCTGTGGCTTTTAGGATTTCTAAACTGTTAAGCTAGCCCTCACTTGGTCTTTAAGAATTCATTAAAATTTCAAGTGTTCCTATATTCTTTTATGATTGCTCTTTCCTCCTTCTGTGCTCTTTCGAAGGTAGAATGGTTGTGTGTTCCACCCTTCTTCCAAGGGGCTTGTTACCTTTTGAAATCAATTCACTTGGTTGCTTTGCAAATGTAGCTCTTTGATGGGCTCAAAAAAGTATAATTTCTATATTATCTAGATTTTTTGTCATTACTGTGGAGTGGGGTTAACATTCTCTTTGGCTCTCTATATCCTGAGTAGAAGCAAAATTCCCAGAATCATTTGTTTTTAACAGAGTTGTCTTTTCCTCTTCACTTCCTGGCAGTGCCCAGCCTGGTACCAAAGCTCAACGATACGAATCCCCACTCCCCTTTCCTACCTCCTAGAAATCCTGTGTTTCTTTTATGCTTATCCACGTCATAAAGCAATGTGAGGAGCCATCTCAGATGAGTATGATGCACATGGAAACCAGGACATTGCTCTTACTAATGTAGTGACTATACATTTGACAGTTAGCATAGGTGAAATAACATTTCCATTCCCCAATGTGCATGTAGCTCTGTTGAGGCAAGCTCAGGCTTCCGGGCAATGATGGGGTCTTTGTTTCCCTCTTCTCCAGTTCTTCTTAGTGGTTTGCCCCTGGTCTACCAGCCCCAGCACTTTCAGAGCAACACAAGAACTTCTTGAAAAGCTGGATTGTTTTTGACAACACAATGTCTAATCCAGCGGAGGGAGGATAGTTTCATCTCACCTGGAAAGTAACCCTCCCCATACATGTGACCTTAATAGTTTATATTTCAGCTTAGAAAAGAAAACCAGTATGAAGTAGCATTTTCATATAAAACACATGTTTCATATCCTGCTACTGTTCTCCTACATTCTTTCTCTCCAGTTAAGGTTTGTATACCTTGGGGAAATAAACCATCCTCTGGGTCTCATGCCCTAATTTAGTGAAGAAAACAAAAATCCTTGCTGTTCTTGGACAGGGATAGTGTTTCAAGACAATAATTTCTATGGGTAAACCACTTAAGGGCAATCTTTGGGTCATTATTTTCTGATCTCTGTTCTTCTTCCAAATCTTTCATTGTGGTGGAAGTGTCTTTTCCGTGTCTTCTCATCTCTCCTGGTCCTTCAACCATTTTTCAGGCTGTTTCTAGTGAGATTGTCTAGTTGGAAAAGACACCTCAATAAAGTAATCTGAAGAAATTGGGGGGCAGTTCCACAATCCCATTTCTGCATATTTCTCTTTCCTTGCTTCCTAATGACTAAGTATTGAATATGTAGTAGCTTTCTTTGACTTCCATTACTTTAGCTTTTTAAATTTTCCTTCCCCACGTGGAAGCAAAGAAGGAAAACAGCCTTGGACATTCTCCCAGGGCAACTGTCAACCCTCCCGCGGGGACGTTGGCCTCCCGCGGAGGAGGAACGTTCCCTGTGGAGGCTTGGGCTGCAGGCGCCCTTTCGGCTCCCCAGTCCTCGGACGCCCTCGCCCGGCGGGCTTTGGGGTTGGCTCAGGAAGGGTCGGCCGCCCGCGGCCTGAGAAAGCGCCAGGAGCGACGCCCGGAGCAGCGCAGGGTGAGCCGCGCCCGAGCCGCGGCAGGGCCTGGCGAGGCCATGAAGGAAGCCCGAGTGCAAGAGCAGCCTGGGGCCGCGCAGGCCCGGCCTGCCAAGGGCACTGAGGCCGGGGAGGCCGGGGGAAGACCCGCGTATCTGACAACGTTGCCAGCGGCCCTGATAAGGTTCCGCAGATTCCAAAAGAAGAAAAGGGCCAAGTCCCCCATTTTCCAGAAGCCGCCAGAACCACAACTGAACGACAGTTTGGAGGGGCCTCGTGGCTTGGGCTCTGAACGACAGTTTGGAGGGGCCTCGTGGCTTGGGCTGCATAGTCATCCCCTGCTGCCAGCGTTTTAACAACGTTCGCTGCTTTGTCTGCTGCACCCACCATAGGTCAAGGTGAGCCGGAGGGGCGGGCTCGTCCTGGGAGGGCAGCGGCGCGGCCGCCCCGGGTTGCCCGCGTGGTGAGGCGGCACAGGGAGGTGTGGTGTGTGGAGGACGCGCTGCAATGACAGGCTCCTGTCATTGCTCACCTGCAGCACCTGATTGACACAGTCCATCCCACACAGTGTGGGTGACAGGGGCCCGGTCTTCAGACAGCCGGCTGGAGAGACGGTGTTATGGAGTCATTTAACCTTATTTGGTCACCAACTCTGAGAAGTTCTGCGTTGAATCACTTGGAGCTTAAAATAAGGTTGAAAATTGTCTGTGATTACCCGGTTGTTGCTACTTTGTCCACAGTTTTGAGATACTCTGGCTAAGCCACTTTCTACTGGATCTTGTTTCCTCATCTGTGAATTGAGGGAGTGGGGGTTGGGACTTCAAGTAATCTATATTAGAGAACTGAAACTCCAGCGTGTTTATTTTTGCCTACGAAGTTTGCAGAAGAACGTGAATTTGACCACCTTTAGAGAGGGTGTGCATTCTCTGCTTGATCACAACTGCCACCGCCCCCGTTGTATCTAGGTTTTTTACTAGCCTCTTTACACCGATGGCATTGGAATTTGCCAGATCTGATCTCATTTTTTACTGAAATGCTATGTCTAAGTAAGTGCAATAAAAATCTGTATGTGGTAAGAACCACACGAGAAGGAAACATCGGTTTGTCCTGAGACCGTCAAAGAAGTTTCTTGAAGAAAGAGGCATTTGAACCATGCGTTAATAGTTAGGCACAGTTCTGATAGTTAGGGATATAATTAAGGAGTATTAGGAGTATTTATTGAATAAGGAAAAGAATGAATGAATGAGTGCTTTGTTTCAGAAAGGCTTGTTTCAGAATGGTGAATGACAAGTTTGGCTGGATGATGTTTTCATTTGAGCACCATAAGGGGGAAATTATTTTTATATTATTCATTGCATCTTCCCAGGACCTAATATAGGGATTGAAGCAGAGAAGATATTCAATAAATATGTATTGAATGCATAAATGAATTAAGAAAGAAGAAAAAGACAGATTGTGGCCTGATTGTGAAGGCGTTTAAATACCAGACAGAATTTTGAAAGGATACTAAAATGTGTTTACTTCCCACTATGCTGAATCATGAGTAAGGTGCTTTACAAGCATTATCTCACTTAATGTAATCCCCTTATTAGGTGGGTAATGAGTAGCCGTTGAAGGTTTTTGAACAAGTGGTTGACAATGAATGGTTTTAGCTCCATCACTTAACTGAGTTCATCTAGGTTATTAGCTCAGTTCGGGTATAGAATTGAGCCTTGCATTCATATAAATGATATATATCTTAATTTTTAAATTTATTAATTGATCTATTTATTATTTTTAGCTACATTTTAAACAATTTTGAAATGATTTTAATAGTACAGATAGGATGCAAAGGCAAAACCAAGAACTTCGGCATCCCTGTCACCCAGTAACATTTTACCACATGTGTTCGTTCCTTCAGTCTCTCTTTCCCTCTACATCCTAGTGTAGACTTTTTCAGACTTGGTGTCCCACTACTACTAACTATTGCAGTGTGTCTTCCCAAAGTGAGACACTCTCCTACATAACCATCATACACTTCTCCCAGTCGGGAATATCAGTGCGTTACTACCATCTAATTATGAATTGGTGGCCCATTCATATGTCACCAATTGTCTCAATATTTTCTCCTTTTCCTTTTGACCCAGAATTCTGTCCAGGAACATATATTGCATTTAGTTGTCATATTAAAGTGATATTAAGGTCAGATTAAAGTCCGCTTTAAACTGAATACTTCCTCCATTCTTTCCCTGTTTCTTATGTCCTTGGAAGACTATAGGTCTTTCATTAAGTGGTTTGAACTTCATTCTGGTCTGTTTGATGTTTCATTATGTCCAGACTCAGGCCATGCTTTCCTCCCTCCCTTCCTTCCTTTCATACTTCCACTTTATTTAGGTATAATTTACATACAATAAAATCCCCCCTTTAAAATGTATACAGTTGTTTTGGCTATTCTAGATCATTTGCCTTTCCATATAAATTTTAGAATCAATTTGCCTATTTCTATTAAAAGACTTACTGCAATTTTAATATGGATTTGGTTAACTTTAACCAAATTTCTCCACCATTTCTCAATGTAATACCCTGCCAACACTGTCGCCACCATCATGGCCTTCACCAAATATGTTCCTTGGACTTTGGACTTCCCAGGCTCAGGAGCTGTAAGCAATAAATTTCATTTTCTTTATAAATCACCCAGTTCTCCAGGTATTTTGTTACAAGCAACAGAAACTACTACGGAAGCTTTTTTAAAAATGCAGATTCCTTAGGATTTTTTACACACGTGATCACGTCATCTATGAATGTAGGTAGTTTTACTTTTTCTTCCCAATCTGTAAACTTTTTTTACTTTTTATTATCTTATTGCACTGGGTAGGACTTCTCCAGTACAATGCTGAATAGAACTTGTAGAGATATTGATTTTTCCTGATTTTTAGATAGAAAGCATTCAGCCTTTCATAATTGAATATGTTAACTGTAGGTTTTTTTCAGATGCGCTTCATCAATTTGAGCATGTTCCCTTCTCTTCTTAGTTTGCTGAGAATTTTTTTTTATCATGAATTGGGGTCGAATTTTATCAAGTGCTTTTACCTGCATTTGTTGAGGTGATCATACTGTTTCTAAAATTTATTCTATGAAGATTATATATTGCTTTTTTTTCCCCCCAGATATTTAACCTACCTTGCTATCCTGGGATAAACTCTTCTGACTGGATTATTATCTTTTTTTTATATATTGCTGGATTAAATTTCCCAAAATTTTTTTAATAATTTTTGTTTCTGTGAGAGTATTGGTTTATAGTTTTCTTGGAATGTTTTTGTCTGTCTTTAGTAACAGATAATAGTGGCTTTATTAAATTAATTTGGATATGTTCCTTCTCTTTTATGAAAGAGTTTGTGTAGGATTGTGCACCTAACGCAAATTCTTTCAGAATCAATTTGTCAATTCATTGCCTGTCAATATTAATATCAGCTTATTGATGCTAAAACTCCAAATTCATCCTTATGACTGCTCTTTGAAAATGTACCCAAGCCCTTTATGTATTTTTCTCTGCCAGCTGTCATAATGTTAAACTGTCAGTAGAAGAGGCTGGAGAACCATTACATAGAAAAGATTTTACTTTTTGGTTCCAGTGTGCTTGCTTCGTAGGCTCCTGCAATGTGTATAGCTATATTTAGTTAATTGCCTTATTGTAAGGGAACTTGTTTTATTTTACTACTTAAATAGGTTGACCATACATTCCAGTTATCCTGGGACAGTCCAATTTATGCCTGTTGTCCCACTTTTTCATCATAATTCCTCTCCCTTCCTTTTTTTGCTAAGTATTATTATTAATAGTTTATTTAAAGAAGCTGGGATGGATTTAATTGGCCTCAACTTTGTACTTCTTGATTGTGCTCTGGTCTTGTTTTACTATGGGTAAAAGTCACATGGTGAATAGAGTCCTTACTCTGACACATAGTTAAATCTAAAAGACAACCAAATCTTTCTAGGCCCTGTCTATATATAATGTTAATGAAACTTTCTCTTCAAGGACAGTGTAAAGAGCATTCCCTGATAAATTAAATAATCTTGGATCAAGTGATGAAATTAATTCTTTCCAGTAGTGGGTGATTGGGCAAATTTTTGGTGCTGCTGGTTCTGCCACTCACTTGGTGTGTTAGCTAGATTTGCCATGGCCCATGGCCCATGCTGTAACCTGCAAAATGTGTGAATGTGTGTCACCAAGCTGCCTGTTGGTAGGGTCAGTGGGAAGCATTAAAAATTATAGATTAGTTGTACTCAAAATATCTGTAGGAAACAGAGGCTGAACAATTAAGTCATAGAGTTTGTCTTGCTCTCTCTCTGCTCTCTCTGCTTCTGCTGTGTTGCAGTGTGAGACCTGTGGGTCATTATTGCCACCACCAGATGGACTTTGGACTTCCCAGCCTCAGAAACTGTAAGCAATAAATTTCATTTTTCTTTATAAATCACCCAGTCCCGTGTATTTTGTTATAAGCAACAAAAATGGACTAATACAACCAGGAAGAACAAAACAAAACAAACATTCAAAGATGGGAATCTGGAATTGGTTATCTGACCTGATTTGTCTTGAAAGCAATGAAAACAGTGATCTTTGTGCCTGTGGTTCACTAGAAGTCCTTGGCATGTAGTGAGAAAAGAGTTATTTAAAATATTGCTTAGGACAGAGTTCTTATTGAGGACAAGGCTTTGGGAGACCAAATAGCTACTGCAATTGACTCCTATGATGGGACATCTGACTGCAAAGGTTCTGGGTTTGCCTGACTGCCTCTGACTGCACTGGAAGGTTTACAGAAAGAAAATGAGAAGTTTGTGACATGGTTAGGAAACATGTGAGCTTCTCTGATGGTTCTATAAGAATTTCTTATCTTTTTTAGCCACATATGGTTTATTTTGAGCAATACCAATCCTTATTCACAGGTTGCAGAACTGTAACTAAGTTGAACTCACAGACTCACCACTTAACATGAGATTAGGGACATTGATGGGAGTGAAGTAGAACCCTGAAAATTGGGATAAAGGCATTTGGGTGGAATTTGGTTAATCCGAGAACCACGAGCCACCAAATCCTGAACCTCCTTTGCCAGTAGGAGCAACTATTCCACCTATACCTAAAGAGAAGACAATCCTTTGCTTGAAGACACTACATTAACCTTGCCAGGGTTAAGGGAATGCTGATTCCCCTCATGACCCATCCCACTACCCCTAGTTAGAATCAGATTTAGACTTCCTGGAATAACTAATATAAAGTCTGTCCTGGGGAGGAAATATCTTTCATACCAAAAATTTGTTTGCCACTTCAGTAATGCTTCTAGTGATGAACTGCTTTGAAGTATGCAGGGCTATCTCTTAAAATGGAGGGAAAGTTTCTTCATTTGCACCACTCACTGTTAAGAAAGATACAATGCTTCTGGTGGGCCTCTGTGGTTTTTCAAAGGTGGAAGTGTGTGGTGGTAACATTATAGCCCTACTCAGGGAAAGCCATGAAAAACAGAAAAAAAAAGAATCCTCCCAGTGGACAGAACTTTGAGCAGTATATCTGATTGTCCATATTGCCTGGATACCATGCTGCCCATTGCCTAATGATTTGCCATTTGGTGATTAGGAAGACTGGGTAAAGGGTGTGTCTCTCCAAATGGGCAGAGTTATTCTATGTGAATGTTCACCAAAAGAAATCCATTGCATAGGAGATGCTCAATAATGAGGTAGATAAACACACTGTGAAGATTAGCCTCTTTCCCTAAGCCATTCTTTCTCTTGGTCGATAGGCTCTTGTTTATAGTGACAATCGCATCAAGGATGGAGTTTATACAAGAGCTGAATGCACAGCCTTACCTTCACCAGGGCTGATCTGGCTATTGCACTGTTGAGGGCCTGTCTTGCTACCAGGAAAAGTCAACATAATCTAAGAAATGGCTCCATTCCTTAGTGAATTCAACCAGTTACCTGGAGGGAGGCTGATCACATAGTTCTGCTTCTGTTATGCAGTGGACAGTAATTTCTCCTCACTGAAATAGTTATTTATACTGGGTATGGACTCTTCTTCTGTCACCATGGTCTGGCAGCACTATAATAATTGGTCTTAATGAATGCCTTATGCATCATTTACCTGATCGTATTTACCAGCACATTGCTTCTAAACAAGAAATTCAATTTACAGCAAAATAAGTACAGCAGGAGGTTCATGCTCATGGAATTCACTGATCTTACTACATATATCTATAACCAGAAGCTTGGCCTTGTAGATAATTATGACGTCATGTTGAAGACTAAGATAAGACTCCAGCTAGTAGACAATAATAAAGTGTTGGTTGTTGTATAGGATGGGGGATATGCTTTGAGATAGCTACCTGTGTATTTGTTATCTGGGATCAAGGAGTAGAAGAGAGGGTGAGTAGTAGAAGAAGGAAGTTTTATATATTAAGTGCAGTCTCATAAACATTTTGAGTAATAAGATTTGTAGCAGCTACATACTTTCTCTTTGTTTTATGTGTACGTACATAAACATACATATATTTGTGTGTGTGTGCTTATTTATATATATGTATTCCAATTCTTTATTTTTTCCCTTCCTCTTTCCCTTCCTATTTTATTTTTCTATTCATACTATATGTCAGGTAGATAACCTTGAAAATTTGTCTCTAGGTTACAGAATATGCCTCAGTTAGAAGGGAAATTAATACCTCCATCCTACAGATAGACTAAGTTACTGACAGGACTTAATTCCTGCCTTAGCCATTATACTCCTTGGCCACATCTCAAGTGAGAGTTGAATAAAATTCTTCTCCTGGGTGCAGCAAAGTTTTTATATCTTGTTTCTCGATAGTATTGGTCTGTTAAACTAGTTGTGGCTCCTAGACTAGCTTGTGGTTTCTTCGGCAATACAATTCTCTCAAGTTTATTTAGTCCTGCTCTATGTTTGCTTAATTATTGGCAGTTACCTTGCAATTTAGTTTTTAGGTTAAAGAAAATCTGTTCAAGTTTGTGACTAAACTAGAAGGATTAACATTACCCTGAGATGAATTTGGTGACTGATTGGACTATGTGTCTCTCCTTTTTGGGAAAGAGTAAGAGCATCCTTGTAAGAATGATAATTGCAATATATTAGGCAGAAGTATGATGATGTTGCTGTTTGTTTGGTGTGGAAGTTTAAATATGGAAAGAAGGATGAAAATGTATCCTGAGTAGTCTAAAGGGTGAACTTTTCAAGTTATGTGTCTGTTGACCATTAACTCCATTGCTTCCCTTCTGGACTCTCCTATTTGCAAGGGGAATGGCAGCCTATAAACTACACTTCCCAGTGTTCCTTGCCAGCTGGCTTCCACTGAGGTGTTGCCAGCGACAGGCTGACAGTAGATTTGAAAAGAGGCAAAGGGAAACCTCTATTTTTTCCTCTCTGTTTCTAATGGCATTTTTGGCAGCAGGAGCAATGCTGGGTGACTGAAAGCTCCTGTATATATGCTCAGGAATAAATGTGGTTCCATCAGCAGCAGCAATAGTGGATGACTCAGCATTGCAGTGCTTCTGGGCTCTGGCTCTGGCTCTGGCAACTGCAGGAGCAGCAGAAACAGCAGGTGACTGTGAGCTGCCTCTCATAGCATCAGGAAGAGTATGGGCTCATAGCTTCTTGCAAAAAGAGGTAGAGATTGCAGTTCCAACAGTAGTAGCAGCAGCCCATGCTTCAGAAACTTTGGTTATTTAGATATCATGATTTTTGATTAGTAACCATTTTCCTTTTCGCTCCAATAAATGTACTGCTTTTGTAACGAATCCCTATATCAGTTTATTTTTGTTTCAAACACTTAGTATGATTTTTTTTTCTAGTTGGATGCTTAGAGATAGACATGCATATAGTATGATAGCATTTATTTAATGTTCAAGAACATGAAAAACAATACTCTATATTGTTTAAGGATTTATACATTATCTGAAAGGCTCAAAAATGGTAAACTTCAAATACAGGATACTGGTTATGGAGGGGAGGGAGAAGAATGTGTTTGGGAAGGACACACTGGGCTTCAAATACTTTGATAATGTTTTATTTCCTATTCTAGATGGTAAATAAACATCTATTAGATTACTTATTTTTTTATAATTGAAATATAATACATTAAAATAAGGATAAGTACTAAGTGAGATGATACAATAGTCAGTATTCTTCAGTAAATTATTCATAGAGGTAGTTAAAAAATAGCTTCACAAATTTAAGTAGCAAATATTTCATAGAGTTTAAGGCCTATTTGTGCTTTATTTTTATTTATTTATTCCTAAAAAAATTATCTAATTACTTATGGTTATACATATTTATGGGGTACAGAGTTGACTATCAGTATTTGTATACAGTATGTGATAATCAAATGAATAGTATTAGCATGTTCATTATTACATATCATAATTACTCTTTGTATCCCTTATCCAATTACTCTCTAGCCCCTCTTCCCCTCCCCCCTTTCCACCTTTGGTGACTATAGGTCTTTTCTCTCCTTTTGAAAGTTCAGTGTTTTATTGTGGTCTGTCTGTCTGTCTGTCTCTCTCTCTTCCTTCTTTCCCCCCACTTAAGAGTGAGGACATGTGGTATATCTCTTTCTGTGCCTGGCTTATTTTAGAAAGGGAATCCTTATATGCTTATAGTGTTTAAACATCAGAATAATGTAAAATAAACTTATATCAATGTAAATTTTTTTGCTTTGTAATAATTTTAATTGTGATCTATTTTGTCTCTTAAAATGCATATTCTTGCTATCTTTTTTCTTTTTTACATTTCAAGTATGGTATTTGGTCTTGTAGATGTNATATTCTTGCTATCTTTTTTCTTTTTTACATTTCAAGTATGGTATTTGGTCTTGTAGATGTGATCATTGCCAATTTTCAGAAGGGTTATTATCTGAAAATCATTGAGGAGTCAGTATTGCAATTTAGTTACGATATTTCATCTGGCCTGATAGCAATATTTGTAGCACACTGTGGAGGGAGAGCAAAAAGAACAACATGGATGGCAGTTTCCTCCTTTTTAATTGGAGTTGGATCACTTTTCTTTGCCTTTCCATTCTTTAATAATAGAAATTATGAATTTAAGGTAGAAATTGAAGGTAAGGTTTTTAAATATACTGTCATACATTCAATCAGTATTTACTTAAACCACTGGCTCAAGGAACTTCAATAGACTGTGATTCCTGTCTGTCTGCATATCCATCCATGCATATCAATTTACATGACCAAGATTACTAATTAATTGTAGCTCCTTAGTGTCATAATCATACACTCTTGCATATAAGAGATGAGCCCAGGGAGGAGGTGAAAGAATATTCTGGGATACTTATTTTGTGAAATTGTTTTTCTTTCATCAATTTATATATATTATGACTCTCTGGAGAACTTCAGTAATTCCTTATGTCTTCCACAATGTGGCTTAATCCCTTTATTCTCGCCTTGTGTGTTGAGGTGAGAATAAAGGGATTAATTAAAACACATTGTGGAAGACACATACAAAAAAGGGTCAGACTCCTTTTCTCGCTACTCCTACCACGCCAAAATGGGAGCTGCTCTTTGACATAGTACTTGAATCTAAAAAGATTGGTGACTTCTTCAATTTGTTTTTTATTTTCAATTTATTTTACAATCTTTTCACTATTCTTACTAGATAAAGGCTATTTGAAATTTCACAGAACTATATTTTTTGTGTGTGTGTTTCTTAGAAAGCTACTGATTTATTGATCCTCCTTTGGATACTAATATACTTAAAGAGAGTGGTTTTCAAACTTTTATTTTTATTTTTTTTGTTGAAGCATAATTGATTATACATATTTTTGGAGTACAGCATTGACTACCATCAGCTGTGTATAACATGAGATGGTCAAGTCAATATTATTAGCTATTCATTATTACAAATAGTAATTATTCTTCATGCCCCAAACCTCTCTCTCCCCAATCCCCCTCACCCTCTCCCCCACCTACCTCTAGTAAGCATAGACTCATTCTCTCCTGGAAGTTCAACATACTTTTGTGGTCTTTTCTTTCTTTCTTTCTCTCTTTATCTCTCTTTCTTTCTGTCTCTCTTTTTTTCTTTCTTTCTTTCTTTGCATCCACTTATTAGTGAGGACATGTGGTATTATGCAGTATTTCTCTCTCGTGTCTGGCTTATTTTACTTAACATCATTTTCTTTTTTTTTTTGTCTGTTTTGTGACCGGTAAGGGGATCACAACCCTTGGCTTGGTGTCGTCTGCACTGCGCTCAGCCAGTGAGCGCACCGGCCATCCCTA